GTGCTTGGGACCTCTCTGCCGGCCATCCAGCATGAATTGTGGACCTGAGTTCCCGAAGTTCCGGGTCTCTCGCGGTTTCATGCTTGAGTTGCTCACGCTTCTGCTCACTCACGGATAGGTTTTCCACGAATGAGTGAACCTGAACGTCCATTTCCTCATCGAGTTCACTGTCCTCATCATTATCCCTATCCAGGTATGCTCGTGACAGCATGTCGGCGATGTACATGTATTTGCCGGGTACGTAGGTGATGCTGATCTGATATCGCTGCAGTCTCAAAAGCATAACTGCATAAAAGTAAAACTGCAGAGAGGTACGCTATTAACACCTTGTCACATACTTACCTCGTCAATCAAGCGATTTACGGATTTAATTGATTCGGATGCTTACGGATTAATAAGATAAGATCAGATTAATCTTTAGCCTTTTTTGGTGTAGCCTATTGTCTTGAGTGTTTTGACTTTGATTTTGTATTTGATATTTTATAGCAATTAAGATAAGCGTCTGCATGATGCAACAATTTTGAAATAAGTAGAATGAATGTTACTGTTTGAATGAATAAACGTTACTTTCTTAGTTCTTCGTTATAGTTTCTTTGCAGCGTTTCAAGACTACGATAAGGATCCCCCATTGGTCAGGCCGCAGTGTAAGTCGAAATGAATGTGTAAGCTTTTATAACAGGTTTCCGCAAACTTCGAAGGTTAACCGGCTATGAGGAAAAATGCTTCGCTTTCCAGCCGCAATATAAAAATTTATATTTTACAGAAAAGTAAGTTTTTTAAATTTTCGTAAACCAGAGAATAACCAGAGATTAAACCTAAATATCACTTATAAATAAATATAAATCTATATAAACCTCTGGCTTGTTCACATGTGGACATGTGCGTTCACATTCGGACATACCATGCACGTGCGTGTCCACATATGCGTGCATTAGCATTGTACAAAAACTGCACTATTTATGATATATTTCCAGCATCATTACCACTTGATGGCAAGAAGAAAGATGTTGGAAGGAGATCTGGAAAAAGGTAACTTTATCTTGATCTATCTTTTTTCTAGTTACTCAGTTATTCAATTATTCAGTATTACTCAATAGATGGGACTGCCTGCAAGAATTATATAAGTTTTGTTCGATATCTGTTGATATAATCAAATAAATAGCCCGATATGTCTAGGTACTAGAACCACGAGTCGCCCCAGTTTGCTCATGCACACATTAGGTAAACGTGGTGCATACATGCAAAGATGTTTCGATGCGTGACTGGCATGACGGTGACGTCTCGTTAAAATAACTAGTTCAAGCACAGTAAAAATGATGCTAGCCGGGATTCATACTCGCATGTAAATAATTACCCCCACCCCCCAGTTATGTTTGTCGCAGAGCGTGTACATTGTCTAGCAGAGCGTGAGGCCGGATACCAGTCTACCCTTTGGCAAAAACAATTACGTGGCTTGCTGCCAGACGCAGTAGACGATCGATAAACCGTGCGCTCGTGTATGCCCATGGTAAAATACGAATGCTGCACGTGAACTCGGCCCACTAAAAACTCGGCCACCCGATTTAAAGCGCGAGAAACAGCATCTATGAATTCATACGATGACACGCTCTAGCTTATCTAAATAAAGTTTTTCATAGCAATGGTCTGGGTCTGGGCTAGTGAAAGTTAGGTCAGGGCTAGTGGTTTTCCTCAGTTACTAAACAGATGGTCTAGTGAAATAAAAAGTTAATGTTGAACCCTGATAATTTCTATTTTGTTTGTTTTTTTCTTCAGAAGAAGAAGTATTCCGGTCGGATGGAGTCTTTCGGAGGTATGTTGACGTAACATAATAATTTCAACCTTCATGCGTGCGTGTGTACCTACATGTGCGTGCATGCGTGCGTGTGCACGTACACGTGCGTGCATGCGTGCGTGCGTGCGCGTGTACCTACACGTGCGTGCATGCGTGCGTGTGCACGTACACGTGCGTGCGTCCGTGTGTGTGCACGTACACGTGCGTGCGTGCGTGCGTGCGTCTGTGTGTGCACGTACACGTGCGTGCGTGCGTGTGTGCACGTAGACATGTGTACGTGAGTAAGTGCGTGTGCACGTACATGTGCGTGCGTGGATGTGCACGTACACGTGCGTGCGTGCGCATGTGTGCAGGTACACGTTCGTTCGTGCGTGCGTGTGTACGTGCGTGCGTGCGTGCGTGCGTGCGTGCGTGTGTAATATCTTATAAACGACATATAGTTTCAGTTATAATATGGATAAATTTGCCCTAAAATGAATATCGTTCGGTTAAATAGCATTTAGGTATAAATATAATTGCACTTTTGTGATTAGCCCTTGGTCTGTAACCTGCAAAATAAATGGTCAAATACGCAACTTTTTCGGGGTCGCGGGTGTCATGGCGCCGTTCAAATTTCGTAGCGTTGATGTGTAAATAATTATAACAATTAAATTAGGTATCAGGTAACAAATACG